TCAAGCAGCAGTTTGTTGTACTCAGAAGTGTCTGGATGCTGATCGTAAGCACTCTGAGCACCTCTTGCAATTGCAGAAGTCAATCATGACTTGTATTCATCTTTTGTCACTGGTATATATTGAGTTCATGGATCACTGCCTTGTCGTGGCGAAGGGGCTTGTGTAGCTCAATGAAGCTCTGAGCTATGCCGTGCAGGGTCACCCAAGACGGGCAGGTCATAGCAGAGCGCTCTGACAAAACGTGATCCACTGGAGGAGGAAATGGCAACCCACTCCAGTATCTTTGCCATGAAAACCCCATGGACAGTACCAAAAGACAAAACAATATGACGCCAGAAGATGAGCCCCTCAGGTCGGAAGGTGTCCAATATGCTACTGGGGAAGAGCAGAGGGCTAGCACTCGTAGTGCCAGAAAGAATGAAGTGACTGGGTCAAAGCCGAAAAGACACTCAGTTGCAGATGTATCTGAAAGTGAAAGGAGAGTCCGATGCTGCAAAACTCTGTGCTCCATAGGAACCTGGAATGTAAGATCCATGAATCAAGGCAAGCTGGATGTGGTCAAACAAGAGATGACAAGACTGAACATCGACATCTTAGGAATCAGTGAATTAAAATGGACAGGAATGGGTGAATTTAATTCAAATGACCATCAGGTATACTACTGCAGGCAAGAATCCCTCAGAAGAAATGGAGTAGCCTTCATAGTCAATAAAAGAGTAGGAAAAGCAGTACTGGGATACAATCTCCAAAATGACAGAATGATCTCAGTTCGAATCCAAGGCAATCCATTGAACATCACAGTACTCCAAGTCTATGCCCCAACCACTGGTGCTGAAGAGGCTGAAGTTGACCAGTTCTATGAAGGCCTACAGCACCTTCTAGAATTAACTCCAAAAAATGATGTCCTTATCATTATCAGAGATTGGAATGCTAAAGTAGGAAGCCAAAAGATAACTGGAATAACAGGCAAGTTTGGCCTTGGAGTACAAAATGAAGCAGGGCACAGGCTGGTAGAATTTTGTCAAGAGAATACGAGGGTCATAGCAAACACTCTTTTCCAACAACCCAAGAGACCACTCTACACATGGACATCACCAGACAGTCAACACAGAAATCAGTTTGACTATGTGCTCTGCAGCCAAAGATGGAGAAGCTCTATACAGTCAGTAAAAACTAGACCAGGAGCTGAATGTGGCTCCGATCATGAGCTTCTCATCGCAAAACTTAGGCTTAAATTGAATAAAGTAGGGAAAAGCACTAGGCCACTCAGATATGACCTAAATCATATTCCTGATAAATATACAGTGGAGGTGACAAATAGATTTAAGGAATTAGATCTGATAGACAGAGTGCCTGAAGAACTATGGACAGAGGTTCGCGGCATTGTACAAGAGGCAGCAACTAAAGCCATCCCAAAGAAAAAGAAATGCAACAAAGCAAAATGGCTGACTGAGGAAGCTTTACAACTAGCTGAGAAAAGAAGGGAAGCAAAAGGCAAGGGAGAAAGAGAAAGATGCACCCAAATGAATGCAGAATTCCAGAGAATAGCAAGAAAAGAATGCCTTCATAAATGAACAGTGCAAAGAAATAGAAGAAAACAATAGAATAGGGAGGACCAGAAATCTCTTCAAGAAAATTGGAGATATGAAGGGGACATTTCATGCAAAGATGGGCATGATAAAGGACCAAAATGGCAGGAACCTAACAGAGGCAGAGGAGATTAAGAAGAGGTGGCAAGATTACACAGAAGAACTATACAAGAAAGAGCTTAATGTCCCTGATAACCACGATGGGGTGGTCACTGACCTTGAACCAGATATCCTGGAATGTGAAGTCAAATGAGCCTTAGAGGGTCTGAGCAACAACAAAGCTAGTGGAGGTGACAGCATTCCAGCTGAGCTATTCAAAATCTTAAAAGACGATGCAGTAAAAGTGCTACACTCAATATGCCAGCCTATTTGGAAAAGTCAACAGTGGCCACAGGATTGGAAAAGTTTACATTCCCATCCCAAAGAAGGGCAATGCCAAAGAATGTTCAAACTACCGCACCATTGCACTCATTTCACATGCTAGCAAAATTATGCTCAAAATCCTACAAGCTAGGCTCCAGCAGTATGTGGACCAAGAGCTACCAAAAGTACAGGCAGGAATTCGAAGAGGGAGAGGAACTAGAGATCAAATGGCCAATATATGCTGGATCATGGAGAAAGCTAGGGAGTTCCAGAAAAACATCTACTTCTGCTTCATTGACTATGCTAAAGCCTTTGATTGTATGCATCACAACAAATTGTGGCAAGTTCTTAAAGAGATGGGAGTACCAGACCATCTTATTTGTCTCTTGAGAAACCTACATGCGGGTCAAGAGGCAACTGTGAGAACAGGACATGGAACCACTGATTGGTTCAAAATTGAGAAAGGAGTTTGGCAAGGCTGTATACTGTCACCCTGCCTATTTAACTCATATGCAGAGCACATCATGAGAAAGGCAGGGCTAGATGAATCACCAGTTGGAATTCAGATTGCTGGGAGAAATATCAACAACCTCAGATATGCAGATGATACCACTCTCATGGCAGAAAGTGAAGAGGAACTAATGAGCCTCTTGATACAGGTGAAGAAAGAGAGCACAAAAGTTGGCTTGAAACTCAACATTAAGAAAACTAAGATCATGGCATCCGGTCCTCTCACTTCCTGGCAAATAAATGGGGAAGAAATGCAGGTAGTGACAGATTTTATTTTCCTGGGCTACAAGATCACCACAGATGGGGACTGCAGCCAAGAAATTAAAAGATGCTTGCTCCTGGGGAGGAAAGCTATGGCAAATCTAGACAGCATACTAAAAAGCAGAGACATCACCCTGCCAACAAAAGTGGGTATAGTCAAGGCTATGGTTTTCCCAGTTGCAATGTATGGCTGTGAAAGCTGGACCATAAGGAAGGCTGAGCGTCGAAGGATTGAGGGCTTTGAATTGTGGTGCTGGAGGAGACTCCTGCGAGTCCCTTGGACCACAAGGTAATCAAACTGGTCAGTCCTAGAGGAGATCAACCCTGACTGCTCTTTAGAAGGCCAGATGCTGAAGATGAAACTCAAATACTTTGGCCACCTAATGAGAAGGAAGGACTCCCTGGAGAAGAGCCTGATGCTGGGAACAATAGATGGCAAAAGAAGAAGGGGACGGCAGAGGATGAGGTGGCTGGATGGAGTCACTGAAGCAGTTGGTGTGAGCTTAAGTGGACTCTGGGGGATGGTGGAAGACAGGAAGGCCTGGAGAAATGTTGTCCATGGGGTCGTGATGGGTTGGACATGACTTCGCGACTAACAACAACAACAACAACAATATATTGAGTATTTCAATTTTAATACTTTTTTCCTTTCTTAAAATGTGTATACATTTTGGCACCCTCTGTGTTTATGTGCATATACCATAAATCAGAATGATAGACCAACAGTTATTCCTTTCTTTATATATATTTCTATGTATGCACATGTTCAACATCATTATTTGGAAAGAAAAGCTGATTGTTTTGCCATTACAAATCCTTATTCCCCACCTATGGCCAATAATGTAGAAACTCCACAGGTACCATAGTGACCAACCACCAGAATAATATTGTAGCCCTGTTAATACAGCTGTCACAACTTGTCCAACAGTCAGGAAAGTTAACAAGAACTGCACTGTCTCTACCTTTAACAACACAGAAGAGCAACAGCAAAGCTACAACTCCACCCAGTTACAACTAAGTGCAGTGCCACCTAGTGACTAAACCATGTAATGTCACTGTCCATGCACCATCTAACTTAAGGCTTTTCTAGAAAAAGCATTTATTGTGCACTTGTGATCCTTTGCTCACAGAGGTTGTAGAGCTGTTTCCACAACCTCCTCATTCTTCAGGGCCTCTCCCATGTTTTCCAGCCTATTTCATGCGGTAAAATTGGTATTAAGAAATTGGAGCAAGAAAAGTCTGGTATTAAATCGCAAACAGGAGCTGAAGCCTCAACAGTCGCAGCTCCGCTATTCTGTAGTTACACGGCAGGGCCACCTTATGCTTGATTAATAAAACAATACAAACCTCCAGAGGAAGTAACTGTATAAGGGACACATTGTTGTCCCTCACTGAAAATGGAAAAGGCCTCAGTAAAGCTGCAGGTTTGACTGCTCATGTAGAAATGCTCTCAGTTTGTTCTTGTCTACTTCACCTTGCAGCGCCTTTAGCAGTCATAATAGCTTTTTGCTGACATTCTACCCTCTGAAACTTTTATATTGGCAATGCCTAGGATTGCACTTCCAACCTCCTATAATGTTGCACTGAATAAAGTTCCCAGGAAAAAGATTGCTAATTAGTATCAGTCTGCAATGTAGCTATGTCCTTATACATAAATAAACAGTTTTAAAGGGAATACTTCTGGCAATACAGTAGCAAACCCACCCATACAAGAGAGTTTGAAAATAAACACACACACTGTAAGGCCGGTGTGGAGCACACAGCTCCCATGATCTCTGACCCTTGGCCATGCTGACTGGGACCTCAGGACCCAGAGTCAAAGGACATCTCATGGCTCAGCAGCTCACCACTTCCTGCCCCTCATCCATAGCTCTGCCTTCAGAAAGCGGACCAAGGCTGCGCGATCCCATCATGCTTCAAACCACCCTGTTTTCTTTGCCAGTGTGAGAGGCCATTTCTGAACCTGCGAAGAGGCGCTTGATGCTACCGAGCTGGAGGTGCTTTGCAGCCTGGAGAGCAAAGCCGGAGCGGTGCTCACCAGCACCGCGGGGCCTTTCAGGGAGACGTCTCTCCTCCCATTTGCAGCGTTTGCTGCACAGCCCCGAGGATGGATCTCTGCCCCGAACACCCCTTGCCAGATTTTGCTTTCTCTTCCCAGAACGAATGCTGGAAAAACCAGCGCCACCAGTTAAGCGCAAAAGCATACTGGGAGGGAGGGGGCGGAGCTCGGCGCCGGGAGGGGGAAGCCGCCCGAGCGCCGCGCACTTGCTGCGCCCCATGGCCGCCAGGTCGCTCCCGCGCTACGGCCGCCACGGGGCGCGCCTCGGAGAGCCCGGGCCCCTGGGGAGGCCTCTGAGCTGCGGCGCCGACCGGGAGGGGAGCGCCGGCGACAGCCGCGGCCCGGCCGCTGGGCGCACGGAGGCCGGCCAGCCCAGCGGGCGCCGCTGCGCGGAGGAGGCCGAGGAAGAGAAGGCGGCGGCGGCGGCGGCGCAGCAGCAGGGCGCCTGCGCGGGCAGCGAGGGGTTAACCGACGCGGAGAAGAGGATCGTGCGGCTGCACGAGGACGCATGCGCGGTGAGCGGCTCTCCGCCTGCGGCCGCGCCCGGGGCTGCTGCGGCTGCTGGCGCTGTGCGCAAGGCGCTGGCGCAACGGCCCTGCGGCTCCGGGCGGGTGCTGCTCCGCGCGCCCCGGGAGTGTTTCTCCCCCTGGCCGTTTAATGCGGGGGATGCCCGAGACGTGGAAGAGGGGGAGCTTGGCTTGCAGCGTGCAGACGCCGTGCTGGGAAGAGCCCGGCGCCTTGCGCGGCGGGCGCTCGGAAGCTGGGAAGGGCACCGTGCCGCGCTTCGGGGCGGAATGAGCAGCCCCGTCCCGCGAACCCCGCGTCGGGGGTCTGCTTGAAATCGGGCACGTCAGAGATACCGCCCGGCTCCTCATTCACGGGACCGTCTCCCGAGGGGAAGGGCAGGCCTTGACCTTCCTCGGGGAGGTCAGGCTGGGAAACGTGTGGCTTTCCAGCTGTTGCTGGAGTGCAGTTCCCATCAGCCTTAGCCAGCATCCGCAAGGAATGGGAGTAGTAGTCCCAACAATATCAGAAACCATACGTTTTTTATACTAGACCTGGAGTCGTAGATCCTTAAAAACATTCCCACCTAATCACACTTTAAACCAGATGCAGAGTTATGAACTGTATGGAGTTGCATCTGATGCACCCCAAGCACTGAAAAAAATGTTACAAGCACTATACAGCTGTCTGCCTTTAAACTGTATTATGGCACTTTTTAGTAGGTATTATTATTACTATCATATTACTATTTATTTATTACTACACTCGTATCCTGCTCCCATAGCTGTGGGTCTCTCTGGGCAGCTTACAGCACATACAAGCCATATACCCCATGTTCCTCTTGCAAGGAACGCAAGAGAGCTTACACAGCTCCTTTTAATCCTTGCAACAACACTGTGAGGGAGGTTGGACTAAGAGTGAGTGACTGGCCTAAAATCCCCACTGAACTTCATGGCCAAGTGGGGCCTAAAACCCAGATCTCCCAGGTTCCCGAAAGTCCAGCACCCTAATCAGTCTAATGCAAACGTGGCAGGCAAGGTGTTGCGGTTATTTATTTTATTTCTTTAAAGGCCAATAGCTGACATTGTTTGGGTGAAGGACAATGGTTGCATCCATTGTCAAGAACTTCAGCTCCTTGTCTTCCTTCATCTCTTGGTTGGTGTCAGGACCTAGGACCCGCATCAACTGGCAGTGGGCTAGAACTCTCCATGTTCCTGTTCCAAGGAATGCTTGAGACCGGCTGACAAAATACTCACAGCCCAGCTTAGCGTGCTGGCTTGCAAGACACAGAATAGAACCCCCAAAGTAAGTTCATGCCCAAGCATCAGTTTTCTGCATTAGCATGTTATTAACCATCCATTTCTGCTTCATTCTGTTTCTAATTTCTGGAATGTAGCGGGCATGGAAAAATACCCTCTAACCCTAAGATAAAATGCACGTGAAAATGCTTTCAATATAATTCCCACTGAAATGGGAATCATCATCAGAAGAAAGGTTAGCTTTAAAAGAAGTATAGTAAGCAGACCGTTCCCTTCCGAGCCGCGTATGCCAGCAGCCTGACTGAACAGCCAGGTGTATATTTCATACTTTAAGAATCACCTTCCATAAGATGGCTGCTGCCTCAGAACCATCCTAAAGAGGTTCTGGTGGAATCCCACGCCTGTGCCCTGCACCCTGCATTGTGTCTTTATGTAAGTTACCTAGCAAAAGCAATTGGCAAAGAAACCTAATTTGCATTTACACCACACTTTCAAGCTACATAGGACATCTGGCAAATCGCACATTCTCCAACATCACAGAAACTGGTCCAATGCAAGATGGCACTTTGACCAAAACTAAGTCAAAACTTTGACCAAATGCAAAACTCATTGCATCTTTCGTTCTTATTTTAGTAAAGACACCTGAAACCTAAACCAATCTTTTGCAATCCGTTGCTCTCCAGATGTGCTGAAGACCCTTTCAGCCCAGCCAGCATGTCTAACAAACATTGTGGCTAGGGATGATAGGACTTGTCCTCCCCAGTCATGCTGGACAGCACCACGTTCAGGAAAGCTGGTCTAGTCTAACAAGATGGTGGCAACTAGCCATGATTAAAAATTCTCCATGTATGAAAGCCATATACCTTTAAATACCATAGCTGGGAACAGAAAGGAAGGAAGTATATCTTTTCTTGCTCTGCTTGTGAGTTGCCATTCACTGTTGGAAACAGAATGGTGGGCTTTGGTCCAACCATCCAGGCAAGTCACATCTTCTTAACCACATACTTGTGTTTAGTGGGGACCCATGTGCAATGTTAGTCCCTGCTGTAGCCCCCAAGTGGCAACATGGAAGAAGGCAGGTGAACCGTTGGAAAGAAGCGTCTTCTGGCTGCACAGCTGGGCGTTGACTAAGGAAGGGCAGGTCACTGGGGACAGGTTTTGATTCTGCAATGTGGGTGCAGCCACACCTATCCTGTGCATGGACCCTTGGACACAGCACGAACCAGTTATCAGTACAGATACCTAAGGAGCTCTGAGCAAGACACACATGGCATCTTTAGAAGGATCTCAGGATCCACTGCTTAAGCCGCAGCTTAACAAACCAGATTCCTGGCATTGGAGGTGGGTCAGCTCATCAAAGCTCACTGGTGGAGAAAGGAGCCCTCCAGAGGATGCTTTTCCAGCCACCCCCAAAACCTGGAACCAGCCTTGGGTGCTGTTCAGTGCCTTACCTGCTCTCTGACAGGGGTGGAAACTAGTTGCATGGATCTCCTCTTTCTTCTCCTCTTCTTGGGCAGCCACCAGGTGGCAGCTGCTGAGAATTACAGTGCGTTTGCCACTGGCGGCTCAGTTAATCTTTGGTCAGGTACTGACCAACAGGACCCTGTTTGCAGGATCACAGCTGGGACATAAGCCACAAAAAGTAAGCCATGGGCTGTTGGATTCTGGGTGGCTTGTTATCCATGGCAGCTAGACTGTTTGGCCAGGTTCCCATGTCACAACAAGCCACACTGCCAGGGGCTGTGCTAATCCCCCCAGCATGTGATGAGCATGCAAGGAGTGGTTAACAAGCTGGTGTGCCTTATTAAACACCCTGTGGCTGCATGAGCAAAGTCTATGTCACACTCTGGTGATCTCTCATTAAGGGACGGGGTGAGTGACCTGCCAGCAGAATCTATTTCTCTCCTTTCTCCCTGAGAACGGAAAATCACTCTGCTTGCAGGGCCGGTTTTTAGTCTTCCTTCTACTTGTGACCTCCGTTAGGGTTGGTTGTGTGTCTGCCATTGATCTTCAACTTTCTTTTATGGCTAAAAGACACTAAACTCTCACAAATTCTTAAGGCAGCAGAGAATGTGACCGGGAGCAGTGCTAATAGAGTCCTGGTTTTCCCCACAACCGTCTGAGAGCCAGCTATTTGTTTCTGAAGAGGGGAACCCCAGCTAATCTGTAGATGCCAGCAAATACTTGGTGGTTTTTTAAATTCTACTTGCTCAGCCTTCAAAGGAGTGAAGGTAAAGAAGCTGTGACTGCTACTACTGCAGACAAGTTGTGGAGGGGTTACAAAGAGGGTCTGAAATCCTTAGCTCTACATTTTTTATAATGGAGACCTGGCAACATGTAAGCATATATAGGTAGTATGGAAGGTTGTCACCTCTTTTCCTCTTTTTATTGGTTTTTTTTTCTTCAGTTTTTCAACTTTCATTTATATTTTCTGTTTTTAAAAATGCTATCCTGGGAGGCATGAAAGCAATTGGTGTGTGTGTGTCTGGTGGTATTTCAAGGGCCCCAGTACCTTTTCTTTCCATTTTCTATTCTTTTTTTCTCCCCCTCCCATTTTTCTATATGCTTTTGCACTCATGGGTTTGAAGATCCTTGCCTAGGTTTGCACTCTTGTGTGCGATATGTCGCTTGTGCAACAGGAAAGTGCAGCTTCTAAGTAGTGCTTTATTGTATCGCTGTGTCAATCTGCCCCACCACCTCTGCCAACCCTTGGCTCTCCACACATGATCTTGAATTTATCCAGCTTGCTGCTTTTGTGCAGAGTTCCAGCTGGAGGCTGAAGCAGAAAAACAGGTGATCAAAGGAGCGTTTCCATGTTATTTTATGGATGAGAACACCAGCACCCAAAGTGCAATGCACTTTGCTTTGCAATTATGATTTTGAAGTTCTTGAAATGATTCTGCATATCATGACCCCTGGCTTGACTTAGGATACCTCTGTGTATGGTGATCCTTGCCTCTTCCTGCTGTTACCTGACCTGCCACCTGCTCCACAGGCCCTGCTGGAAACCAGCCTCCTCTAGCTGCACTGTTGCAATCCCATGGTAGTTCTCACAATGATGGGAATTGTAGTCTAAAACATCTGTAGGGCACTCAGTTGGAGAAGGCTCTTTTGAACAGCTGATTATGACACTGGAACTATCATGGCACATCTTTCAAGGTTCCAAACATATAAATTCCCAAATCTGTGAATGAATCTCCGGTTCTCAGCCAGATACTGTTCATAGAATTGGTTGCAGATCCATGCAGACCATACAAGGTCTGGTGACCATGCCGTTCTGTCCAAACTAAGGTTTCTCCTTTGAACAAAGGGTGTTGAGTCCAACTTTCTGAAGACCACCAGCTTCAGGAAAGACGGCCTTGAGAAGATGCTGTGCACGGCTCCTGCTTCTGCCACTTGGGTTGCTTGTGATGCTTGGCCAGAGCATCTGGTCTGCCAATCCAGAGCAGAAAGAATAAAGGACTGGCCAGCACGGCATAGTGGTTAGAGAGGTGCACTGGGACTCAGGAGATCTAGGTTCTAGCCCTGTTTGACCATGAAGTTCACAGTTTTCAACCATCTTGTATTCATTAGCATGTGTCCCAACTGTGATGATGCATTTTGCATAAATACTGAGACTGTGCTTCCTCATGAACAGAAGAGGCTTTCATGTAGCTCTCCTCCAGGGTACTCCAAAATATTTTGCATTACAACAGGGATAGGTCATAAAAATATATTGTTGCTGGGTGCAAGGAGATACAGATGAAGTCATTCTACTAAGCAGCAGTTCCCAGTGCTTCCTTCAGCATGGACTAATGCTACAATCCCATGAAGGTTGAGACAAAAGCAAAATCCTACAATGCCCAGCAGCCAGCTAGCCAGTATGGGGATGGGTGTATGGCTAGGCCATACTGAGAACTTTTTCCATCTGAAAATGCTTAGGAAAATAGAACAGTTATGCAAGACTGCAGCTGAGCAGATAGCAAGACACAAATCAAGTCTACTACAGTTGTTGAGATGACAAAGCCAAGAACTGTGTTAAGCAGAACCTGGAGTGGTTAAACTCTCTCTTTCTAAAGGCTGGAAAACATCACTATGTGGATCCAGACACGGGCTACCTCGTGTTCACGGAGGTTGCCCATTTGCAGAGGAAACACTGCTGCGGCTCTTCCTGCAGACATGTGAGTATGAAAGCTCCTGCACCTACCAGCTTCCTGCAAATGAGCGGCTCAGCCAGCAGATCTGTTGCATCTTGCTGAGGGTTGGCCCAGTGCCCTCCAGATGCTTTGAGTCCCCTCATCTTTGACCATTGGCCATGCTGGCTAGTGCTGATGGGTGCTGTAGTCTAAAGCATCTGGAGGGCACCAGGTCACATACTGCAATCTGGTCAGTTTCACATTGGAGCTGAGCTGGAAAGCAGCAATCCACATCTTTGGCCTTAAGCAGGCTTCTGCATCCGTCTGTGGCTTGTGGTCAGAGCCACGAACTCCCTGAGATTACATTCCTATGCATGTGTACTTGGGGAAAAGTCCCATCACACGCCACTTGCACCTAAATGCATTTGAGCTTGTGGGATGCTAGGCAAACCCTGACTAATATATTTGACAGCCTGACTCATG